TAGCGAATTCACTCCGGCGACAAAACGCAGAGTCGTCCTGAAGCGGTTGATGGGTTTGGGTTATAGACGTAACTTTCGCCTTTAGCCAGCTTCTCCTGGTAGAGCACTTCTTCGTGATCGCCATAATTGATAATCAACGCGTACCAGTCGCCACGAGGCAGATCAATAATCGCGTAACCCTGCTCGTTAGTTTGGTAACTACCCAGTCCAGCGACCATGACCTCTGCACGGGAGACCGGTTGGCCGGTATGGTCAAGAACCCGGACCCGGCTGTCGCCCGATTTGGGGATGGGGCTCGACTGACTGAGCCGGCTGGGCGCGGGGAGCGGACTTTCCGGGACCAATTCCAGGATATCCCTCTCATACCCTGTCCTTTTAGGAGTCATCCAATCGGCGCCATACTTGCACCGCAGGTATTCTTCCGGCGGGTCTGGCACAAGGAATTTCTCGCCTATGAAATCAATCTCTTTCAGTTGAGTGACAAGTGTGACAGGGATTCGTACTCCAGGGTACTGAATTATGCAGTCGTCAACGATCCAGTGGCAAATCCAGTCGATCCTAATGTAAGACTTCATCATCGCCACACTTATGTAGTGGTCGTTGGGTTCCACTTTAGCGAAATACCCGTTGTCCCTGAAGGCAGCCACAACCCGGTCTATTGAATTCTCGGTGAGCCCATGAAGTCCGATGACCGAGCTCAAATCCAAGTCATCATCCCACGGGATGAATCCGTTGTCCCTAATCACGCCGAGACATGTGCCCTGCCGAAGGAAGAAAACCACTCCCAGGTGGTCCAGGATCTGCTTGGCTTCCTTCAGCATCCTTGCGGCGGCGGCTGGGTCCATCGGCTGCAAGACTGAATACGACCTCTCTAGGGCCGCCTCATCGGCTCCATTGCTTAGGGCCATCTTCTCTCCTTACCCTGACTCAAACGCTTGGTGTGAGACGATACTCTATGTCGTGACAGATGTTTTCGCAAATGCCAAGGCCGGTCGTAACTGTTCAGACTGGGGCGAGTTGGGGTTGGGAGAGGATGGAGTTCAGGGCTTGGTAGCGGTTGCAGCCTCGCAAGCGCCATGTGCCGAACAAGGAGGCGAGGACACTTTTGATTTCGCTTCCCTGCTCCGAACGGGTCCCGCCGCTGATCTTCCGGCTCACCACCGTTGGGCGCAGGCTGCGCTCCGCCGTGTTGTTGTCCGTGTTCACCCGGGGGTCAGCGGCGAAGGCAAACAACTCCGGCAAGAAGCGTTCCACCCGTTGGCACAGCACCCTCATGGGTGCACCGCCGTCCAGGTAAGGCTTGCAGATGGACAATAGCTGCTGCTGGTATTGTTGTTGTTGCTTTACCCGCTTTCGACTGCTGCACCGTTTCCGGCAGTTGCGGGTCCGGGCCGGGATATGCCTGGGCATGGTCATATACTTCCCGCACCCATTCGGCTAGTCCCTGATGTTGAGGGTATTGCTCCTTCAGTTGGTGGATGTCGCAGCAGGTGGGTCCAACATCGTTGGTGCAGCCCTTTATGCACGTTGTAAGCGCCGTAGAAGCCACTGACCAGCACTCCTTCAAACTCGTCTCCCATCACTTCCTCAACCACCTCCCTTCTCCGGTTGGCCCGGCGGAGGAAGTAACGCACCTTGGGAGTGCTGAAACCCCAGAGATACCCGGTTGTTATTGATCTACGATTCGGTCACCAGTTAACTGTTCAGGGAAAATGATGCTCCCATAGATGTCATGCTGGTCTGCCGACCATACCGGACTGATTTCTGAGGGCAGCGAAGACCTCCCGAGCAACGTAGCGTTTTAGGCACCGGATGACCTCGGTCTTACTCATTCCCTCTCCGATGCGGCGGCGCATATACTCCCTGGTCCGGCCGTCATGTCGAAGCCTGACTATGACGATGCGATAGAGAGCTGCATTGGCTTGGCGGTCGCCACCCCGATTCAGCCGGTGCCGGTTGGTCTTGCCGGAGGAGGCGGGTATCGGACTCACTCCGCACAGGGCTGCGAAAGCAGCCTCGGAGTGGAGGCGTTCGGGATTGCTTCCAGCCGTGATCAGCAGGGTAGCCGCTGTGTCTGATCCTATGCCGAAAACGCTGACCAAGGCAGCCGCGGCTGCCTTGGTGAAGCTAGCCAGCAACGGCTACGCGGGGGCAAACCACACTCACCTTACCGAACTGCTGCGGGAACGTGAGGGCATCGACCTGAGCCGTCCCACGGTGCGACGCATATTGGCCCAGGCCGGCATCGGCAGCCCTCGAACCCGCCGATCCCCACAGCACCGGTTCCGGCGTAGGCGCATGCCCCAGGAGGGCATGCTGGTGCAGATCGACGGTAGCCACCATCCGTGGCTGGAGGATCGGGAACCGCGTTTCGTCCTGCTGCTGGCCGTGGACAACGCCACCGGCGCGTGCTCCGGATGGTCGAGAGCTACGTCGTCGGCCGGGTCCTTGCCGGGATGCCCCTGACCGAGGGCACCAGCGGCAACATCATCGGTATCCTGAACCGCCTGCAGAGAGCACTGGCCGCCGGAGAGCCGATCAAGACCGCAGCCTACCAATGGCTGGCCCAGACCAGGAACGAGGCCAAGCGCTGGCCCTCCGACGCAGAGGTCGTAGACAAGGTCTCCGACAAGCCCCACGAGATGACGCCCACCTGGCGCGACATGGTCCTCCACGCCATCGAGGACCGGCTCCGGATCGACCAGGGGCTCGCCCCCACCGACCGGAAGCTCCGAACCGTCACACTCATCCCCCCAGGAGAGGCAGGCACGACCAACTACCCGATCCAGGAGAGCCGCCCCACCCCCAGCAGGCAACAGCGCCGGGAGGACGCGCTGAAGCAACTCGGCAACCTGACCCTCATCAACGGGCCCATGAGGAAAAGGGAGCAGGAAGCCCGGTTGGAGAAGAAGCGGGAATCGCTGGAGGAACACCGGGACATCCTCCTCACCCAGGTGCTGATCGTCCCCCAGAAGGATGACTTCACCGAGCAGGACATAAGCGACCGGAGCAAGTGGATGGCCACCCTCTGCACCAAGATCTGGCCCCGGGAGGAGGCCTGAGCGAATGTTCTAGACGAAGAAAGAGGAAATCCGATCATAATCACGCATCAAGGTGCAGATGGCGGCGCCGGACCAGACCCAAGAGGCCGCCCGACAGCTCCAAGAGGGACGCAGCACCGGCAGGCCGCGGGACGAAACCCAAAGATCTGATAGCAGTAACAGGGACTTATTCCTTGCCCGGTCAATCGGAGGGTCATGTTAACGCTCGATTCGGGCGGCAGTGAGGCACTGGGAATCATTTAGCCTCCCAAGTTGACACTTCCAGTCAATTAAGGTATTGCTATAAACGAATAGAGGCTTGCCATCTGGCCGTTGCCCTTTTTGTCTTGGGAATCGGCATCTCTGGACATTTGTATGGCGCTTCATGGAGTAAGTTTCCGGTTCAACCTTCGTTATGAGCATTTCAGAGGGTTCGGTTCGCTCCCGAAGCGTCATCAGGCCGTTCTTACCTAAACTGAAGCCAAGGTGAGATGTACATATTTCTAGACCGCACTGTAGCGGGCGACCCCAGTTGGGGGCTAAAGGTGATATGAGGAGCCGTGGAGCCCTTTCGGTCATCTTCAAGATCCCGAAATGCACATTCCACCTTGGTATTGGTTTAGCTATCCCCGCTCATTAACCCACTGGGAGTCTTCTGCATTTCCGAGACTCGTTTAGGGCGCCAAGGCTCGTGCTTTGTGTTCTTTTGGAGGAATTGATGCCCGACCAGACGGTAGAATATTTGAGCTCTTTGTACGGCGGATTTTGGGACTTTGAAGTCAAAGATTTTTGTTATATGAGCAACCCCTTTTTCCCCCCAGAGACTCTCTTGGAGGACTTGGGGGTACATTTGACCGAATTGGTCAAGGCTTATCCGTCGACCAACTGGTATATATCATCATTGCTGGCGGACCCCTTGGGATTAACTGAGAACGAGGTGGTGGTCGGAAACGGCGCCAGTGAATTGATAGACCTTTTGGTCAATCGATTCGTCCAGAATCTGGCTATCCCTGTACCTACATTCAATGAGTTTACCAACCGAGCCAAGACCTTGGGCAGGAAAGTCAACCCCTTCCGCCTTCGCGGCGAATTCAAACTTGACCCGGAAGCGTTTGTACGGCACGTGAGAAAAACGGGGTCCAATGCGGCTGTACTCATCCGGCCCAACAACCCTACCGGGTCCCTTATCTCCAAATCTGACCTTGCCTTTTTGCTGGAAGACCTCAGGGACCTAGACCTGGTGCTGGTGGATGACTCATTTATTGAGTTCGTAACCACGGAATCGGACCAAGCAGCGTCGAACTTGGTATTCGAATTTCCGAACTTGGTCGTGCTGAAGAGCCTCTCCAAGAATTACGGAATCCCGGGGCTTCGTTTAGGGTATGCTGTCTCCGGGGACAATGAGCGCGTCAAGCAGCTGCGACAGGACCTCCCCATCTGGAACATCAATTCTTTAGCCCAGTTCTTCTTACGCCATTACGGAGAGTACCAAGAGGAGTTCACGGTTTCGTGCTTAAGGGTGCGGGAAGCGACCCAGCGGCTGTTTCAACAACTTCGCGGAGTGCCCTACCTTCATCCCTTCCCGACCCAAGGCAACTTTGTCTTGTGCCGGGTCCTCCACGGCTTTACCGGAGGGGAATTAACTTCAGCTCTATTCGAGCAGTACAATATCCTGGTCAACAATTGCAGTGAGAAGGAGGGACTGGAGGACTCTTACATACGAATTGCTTCCCGCACCAAAGCGGACAATGCGGCTCTGGTAGCTGCCCTGCAAGGACTAGACCCCGGACCATCTCTAGGACATCCAGACTCCCAGACATCCAGATTGCACCAGGCGGGGTAGGGTATGAAGGCAATAATTCTTGCTGCGGGCATGGGCACCCGGTTGCGCCCCATCACTTCGTCCCTCCCCAAATGTCTGGTCCCGGTCAATTCTAAACCCATTCTGGAGCATCAGTTAGAGGCACTGTTGACGGCAGGTGTCCGAGACGTAATCCTAGTGGTGGGTTATCTTTCAGAATTAGTGTCTGACAGGTACGGGACTATGTACGGTGGCATGAACATACACTACGTTCAGAATCATTTCTATGACTGCACTAACAACATCTACTCCCTGTGGCTTGCACGACAACACCTAGATAGCCAGGTGCTCTTGCTGGAAGGGGACCTGGTTTTCGATCCCGAGTTGTTACAGAGACTAGCTCAAGCTCCTGAACGGGACGTTGCTATCGTCGAAAGATTTCAGCCTTACATGGATGGAACGGTTATCCAGGCCAATGGCCCTCGGGCTGGCAGGATGGTCCTAAAAACGCACCAAGGGAATGCTTTCGACTACTCATCCGTCCTCAAGACAGTAAATATTTATAAATTCTCCCAAGAGGTTTTACAGTATAAGATAGTTCCCCGGCTGGAATCCCATGTGGCGCAGCAGCGGTACGACCAATATTATGAGGCGGTCTTCTCCGACCTGATTTCTCAAGGCTCCCTGCGCTTGGCTATTCTTTGCGCCGCACCCAATAAGTGGGCGGAGATTGATACTTTGGAAGACCTCCAAACAGCCGAAAGAATTTTCGCGGCAGAGACTCTGGATCCCGGGAAGGCTCCAAGTTAACGCTGTCTCCGCCGCCACGGGAAATCAGCGGGCGTTGGATGCCGGCTAACCCTTGAACAGCAGAAGGTGCACTTTGGAATACGCTAAGGCATGGTCCCAGCCGAGCGCCATCGAATATTACTCCAAACATCGGCATGAAGTGTCCGACCTTTATCCATCGGAGCGAGTTTTTTTGCCTAGAGTTTTATTTCCGGGGATTAAAGTGCTGGATGTGGGGTGTGCCTCCGGCGGATTCTTCAACATCATGCGCACCCTGGAACCAACCGTTGACTATACTGGAATAGACATAGCCGAGCCAGCCATCGACCTGGCCCGCCAGACCTATCAGGAAGCCCGATTTGAGGTCGCCGATGGGGTGACAATTCCTTTCGATGACGGGGCCTTCGACTTGGTCCACTGCACTAGCGTCCTGGTTATCGAACCTAGATATCAGGAAGTATGGGAGGAAATGTACCGGGTGTCCAGCAGGTTCGTTTTGGCAGATATGCGCTTGTTAAAGGATATTGAAAGCCAAGGAGGTCTCCAAGATTCTCACTATCGAATCCAATTCGACGCGCAGGACCAGGAAGGGATAGTGCCCTATGTGGTGAGCGACGCCGATGAGGTGGTCAACTGCTTATTAAACCTGGTCCCCCGCCCACGAGCTTTGAGAGGCACAGGCTATTTCCATGAGGTCTCGAAGATGGCGGGTACGCGCTACTCCCAAGTCTGTATGTCCATATTGCTGGTAGAAAAGGGCAATTTGGAAACAACACGAACTGAACTGGACCTGAACGACTTACCACTAGAGTTCTCAGCTTTCCCAGGTTAAGCCCGAATCCACCGAAGGAGGGCGTCGGGTTACCGTTCAGCGTCAACTACTTTTGCCGGTCCCGTCGAT